ACATGCGACTCTGGTGGCGGAGGTTGGCAGTGCTCCTCCCTTAAGCGGGTCTCAACGCGTCGTCTGCATCCCGGTGCATGCAAGTGGGCCTCTTTCGTCCGTACGCGTGATATGCCACTTGTCTGCTCGCCCAGCTCTATGCTTGGCGGTGCGGGCCGACCAGCTGTGGCTACTCTCGGTAAGCTCGCAACTTTTGGATGCAGTTGGAGTGGTTGCATAGATCGGGGTGAAAACTCAGCAACAACCTTGGTGCCAGCGGTAACAATATTGATTCATAAGCCAAAAGTCGAAAGAAAAAGCTCCTATTTCAGAGTTTTTGTGGCTTTTTTTTGCCAAACTAGAAAAGTTGTAAAAGTAGAAGTAAAAGCCCTAACAAACAGGGTCCATGATGTACGTCCACTGGGAGAACAAGGTGTCAGCCTATTGGCAAGGCCCTCAAGAAGTCAGCTAGCCCACCCGTGTTCGAGCCTTGAATGGCATGTGGTCTTTTGAAAAAAAATCTATAAAAATATACCTTCAAAGGCTAGTTGTAGATGGTCTTATTTTTTTATGTACCTCCAATGGTGTAAGTATTGAAATTGTCGGCTGTGCACGTACATGGGTGTCATTATAGTACACATGCATGTGCAACTAACTCATGGGCACACATAGAGGGAGGTAGAGATCAAAAATATTGGTCAACCTTTATCATGCGGGCGTACCCACGCATCAAAACAACTTGTCTGCGCGCGCGCGGTGGGGGTGGGGGTGATTCCCTTCCTCGCGTATCTTCCGTGGGCGGCCCAGGAGGAAACCCTAGCCGGCCGCCGCGAGTCTTTCTCAACCCCCTTCCCCTTCCCCCTCAGCCTCCAGAGCGTATCGCTGGGCCTAGCTACTAGATCTTGTTCGGTCAATGCTCAAGGTGCTATGCCACAACTTGGTCCTTTTCATGGTACAATTTTTGGTCTCATTTCAATTTCCTTTTGAGATGGGGTATTGTTTATTGATCCTATAATCATGGGCCATTCCTAATTTGTGTTTTCTGGGTTTCAATGTGCAGTGTTGGGAACTGAGCTGAGGGCTGTATTGCATTGAAATGTGTGTTTTTGGTGTTGGTTTTCATTCATGTACTTCCAGTTTCTTTTTACTCCGTAAATAAGATATGTTTGAAGTCAAACTACGTAAACATTGACCAAATTTTATTAAAAAATATTAACATCTACAATACTAAAGTTATATAGTTGGAAAAATAATTCCATGATGCATCTAGTGATATTGATTTCGTATTGTCCATGTTGAAGTTTTTTTCCTATAAAGTTGGTCAAATTTTATAAGGTTTGACTTCAGACAAAATTTATATGCGGAATTAAAAGAAACTGAGGGAGTACATGTATGGGCAAAAAAGCTAGACATTTGTTTCATTACGGGGATCCTACAGGCTCCTTCCAACTAACTAAACTTGTCCCCTAAATTTCAAGGGATGGGCCGATTTCCCCATCTGACGCCAACGCGTTGAATCAATCCATAAACCAGAATAAATGCTTCGTACATGTAGCTTTACTCCTGTATGAGGGCCCTTGGTCTTCGGGATGGCCTGTGCCACCACACGTATTGCACATGCTGAGGACCGGCCCTAGTACGGTAGGCATGTAGCCATGCAGGGGATTCGTGGAAGCAACCTCTACATTTTTATTTTTATTTTTTGAGACAAGGAAGCAACCTCTACATGATGAACGATCAGTCCAACAATCCATTCCATACAAACGACCTGCAATTTCTACTGATTTTCTTCGTACAATGTGCAGTGTGGGCTCTGGCGTGCATCACACTTTGCATGCATGGTGGAGTATGTAGTGGCCGGGCTGTTAGCTACTTTGGCTCGCGTCGGTCAAGGTCAAGACCACACGAAGAGGCAGCGGGGCACAACTTTTTGACTGCACCGCATGTAGGGCTGGACAAAAAGCTCCAAGCTCGGTGAGTCTAATGAGCGCTCGGCTGCTTGACTCGTTTGAGCTCGACTCCTTTTCTTAATAAACCGAGCCAAGCAGCAATTTTTGCTCGTTAACACTAACGAGTTAAACGATCAAGATTGTGAGTTTCGTGAGCTACTCGTTAAGCTTGGTAGTAGCATGATTTTGTTCATCATATAGAATTTTTTGTTGACTTCGATCACTCCTAAGTCTATAGACAAGCTATTTGCCACATTCACATCTTTCTCATCTTCTCATATTCTCGATGTATTGAATCCTATTGGTTGGACCTATGTATATTTGTAATTATATGCATGTGATGTATCCTGTTTACTGATGCATTTTCCTAACGAGCTGCTCGCCAGCGCTCGCGAACATATAACGGACCGAACCAATCTTTATATTTAGCTCGTTATCCTTAATGAGCTTAATGATCCGAGCCTTAACGATCACGAGCCTTAACGAGCCGAGTCTTAATGAGCCGAGTAGCTCGTTAGTCCAGCCCTAACCGCATGCACTGTCGTCCGGTTCACTCTCCGCGTACACGCCGCGTAGCACGCACCACGGTGCACATTGATAGATTCCTCCCTTCTCCCCAAAGGAATGAATCGCTTGCAGCTTCTTGGAGCTCCATCGATGTGCTTTTCCCCGTCAATTTCCAATTTCGGCATTCGGTTAACTTGTTATTAGTAGAAAAACAAAAACAAATAAGTAGAGTATATCTATCAAAGGCAACTCACTAAGGTTGATTGGGACAACTAATTAACGCTCTCCTTGCCAATCCACTTTTTTCGGCGTTTTGTCCTCCCTTACCAGTTTTGCTTTCGAGAAATAAAGTACGGACATAGATGCTCACAAACGAGACCGTTCCTTCTTGTAGTCAAAAATAGATTTGGCTTATTCTCTGTACGGCACACATGCATCCAGCAAGCGAAGTACCGACACTTTTGGTTTTGCTTGAGCCGATCAAATTTTGCTAGAACAAAGGGGTGTATACCCATTATTAGACTGAATCAAGTAAACAGGACCTGCAAAACAAGGTCACGAAATATCGGTTGCTTGAGCCAATCAAATTTTGATAGCAGAAATGGGTGTAGATCCATTAGACTGCATGAGGTAAGCTGAAGCCGCAAAACAAGGTCATGAAATATCGGTTGCTTGAGCCGATCAAGTTTTGCTAGCAGAAAGGGGTGTAGACCCATTAGACTGAATGAGACATGCTTAAGCTGCAAAAGATGGTCACGAAATATCGGTTGCTTGAGCCAATCAAATTTTGATAGCAGAAAGGGGTGTGGATCCGTTAGACTGAATGAGGTAAGCTGAAGCCGCAAAACATGGTCAGAAAGTATCGGTTGCTTGAGCCGGTCGAATTTTGCTCGTAGAATAGGGTGTAGACCCATTAAACTGAATGAGGCAAGCTTAAGCCGCAAAACATCGTCATGAAATATGGGTTGCTTGAGCCAATCAAATTTTGATAGCAAAAGGGGGTGTAGATCCATTAGACTGAAAGTGATAAGCCGAGACCGCAAAACAAGGTCACGACATGTCAGCTTCTTGAGCCAACCAAATTTAGCTAGCAAAAAGGGGTGTAGAGCCATTAGACTGAATAAAGTAAGCTTATGTCGCAAAACAAGGTCACAAAATATCAGTTGCTTGAGTTGATCAAATTTTGATAGCGGAAAGGGGTGTAGATCCATTAGACTGAATGAGGTAAGTTCAAGCCCCAAAACAAGGTCATGAAATATTGGTTGCTTGAGCGGATGAAATTTTCCTAACAAAAAGGGGTGTGGATTCATTAGACCGAATGAGGTAAGCTGATGTCGCAAAACAAGGTCACGACATATTACAATGCCAGACGATGGAGTCCCTCAAAGTACCAAGCAGTCATGGAGATATACAACCACAACTCGATCGCATAGGTCGGAGATGTGATGCGCCGATTAAAGGAAATGCAGTGAAGGGCATGGATGGAGGACAATTGCACTTATGATCATTACACTAGTTACCACTCCTTCAAAAATTATAATATATAGGCCCTTCATTCATAATGTAATGCGTATATATTTTAAAAAGTCAAACTTTATAAACTTTGATCAAGTTTATAGAGAGAACTATTTATATCTACAATACAAAATATATAAAAATACGACACTATGTCTTATTATAAGTCTAATGATGTAAATGTTTTTATCCACAAACATGATCAAAGTTTATTGACTTTTCAGGAAGTCTACCTGCACTACATTTTCGAATGGAGAGAGTATAACATTCCAGTTTATTTTCATTAAGACTGTGTGATACACTTCAGCATACCCACCATCCCCACCACCCACACCAACTTTAGTCAATTGTATTTATATATGATTAAAGGGAAGCTTCCATTATCTCGAGAATACTAATATACACCTATAATTCTATAAAAATGATGATAAATACTATTATAGTTTTCATTTTCAAACGTGTTACTCGTTTGACCAGGAGCTGGGCCCCATATATGCACCATTTCGTTGCACCAATCTAATCAGTCATACTCTCCCTGTATTACTATTATTTAAGTCAAATTAATACAGCTATACTATTATATTCAAGTAAAAACAGACTCAGAAATATCTAGCCACACGGATCCACACTTGTCGGCTCAGCACAACACACGAGACATGTTCGTTCGATGGAGCTCTCTCCATCACATCGTCTGTCAAAGTCCATCCATGGCCTGTCACACAAAGAATTTCGTCTCCTTCGACCGCCGATCGATCGGTGGCCGAGGACGTGAAGAGGACGACGCGCGCTATATATTTCTGTAGCTGTAGCGTTTGGAGGTGTGGTGCGGCCTGTGCGTGTGCTCCCGTCCACGTGCACCGGTCGGTCGGTCGATCCACTCAGGCCATGTGTGTGTATATAAGCTAGCCACGCCCACGATGCAAAGCACATACATTCACTCAGCCAAGGTGTCACCGCCAACTCGCACGCGTCTTCAGGAGCTTGCTGGCTGCTCTCGCGTCTTCAGTACACAGCACAGAGAGAGAGAGAGAGAGAGAGAGAGTTGTTAGCATGGCGTCCAGGGAGGTCAGAGTCCAGATGGCGGGGGTACTGGATGGCAAGCCGAGGTGTGCTCCGTCCCCGGAAATGCTTCTCGTTCATGTCCCCTCGCGGGCCGCCGGCGGTGCGAGCAGGACGGCCAAGGACGCGGCCGTGCCTTCTCACGCTGACACGCCGTGCTCTGTCTCCTTCAGCGTGCCGGGCTCGCCGTCGGGGCTCCACCTCGCGCAGCTTGGCATGCCGCCGTGCGTCCGCAGAAACGACGCCGACGTGGGCGCTGCTCGGGTGGCGCCGAGCGATTCGAAGGTCGAGCTGGTCCACTACCCGGCAGTGCCGCAGCTGCTGAAGCAGGCACGCCACCACTCGCAGCCGTCCCTGGTGGTCAGAGTCGGCGGCGAGGTGCCGGCGATGCTGCGGAGCGACAGCACGCGGGAGCGAGACCGACGGTTTGACCACTTCAAGACGTTCTCTGGCCGCCTTGAGCGCCAGCTCTCCAGCCTCCGCGGGGTGCCACAGGATATCGACGTCGAACATGGTGCGGCGTCGAAGATCTCAGAAGAGGACACCAACGAGGACAACGAAGTGCCCACCGCCGACCGCTACTTCGCCGCGCTCGAAGGCCCCGAGCTCGAGACCCTTCGTGTACGTACCACGTAACCGTGTAGACTTCTACTTCGGTTATACTAAAGTTAAAACACTTATTTTAGGACGGAGCGAGTAGAAAAAAAGTCACCATTACAATCTTTGTGTCTAATAACCTCATGAACATGCAGTCGATAGAAGTGGCGGTGCTGCCTAAGGACGAGACATGGCCGTTCCTGCTCCGGTTCCCCATCAGCGCCTTTGGGATGTGCCTTGGCGTGAGCAGCCAGGCCATGCTCTGGAAGACTCTGCAGTCTGAGCCCTCCACGAAGTTTCTTCACGTGCACCCGGTTGTCAACCACGTCCTCTGGTGGGTCTCCGTCGCACTCATGGTGGTCGTCTCCATCACCTACCTCTTGAAGATCGTCTTCTACTTCGAGGCCGTCCGCCGTGAGTTCCATCACCCTGTGCGCGTCAACTTCTTCTTCGCGCCATGGATCGCCTGCCTCTTCCTCGTCAAGGGTGTGCCACATCCTGTGTGGGAGATCCACCACGCCGTCTGGTACGTGCTCATGGCGCCCATCTTGTGCCTCGACCTCAAAATCTACGGGCAGTGGATGTCTAGTGGTGAGCGACGCCTCTCTAAGGTGGCCAACCCATCCAACCACCTTGCAGTCGTCGGCAACTTCGTAGGCGCATTGCTTGGTGCTACAATGGGCCTTCGGGAGCTTCCTATCTTCTTCTTCGCCATTGGGTTGGCCCACTATGCCGTGCTCTTTGTCACTCTCTATCAGCGGCTCCCCACCAACGTGCAGCTTCCCAAGGAGCTCCACCCAGTGTTCTTCCTTTTCGTCGCTGCACCTAGCGTCGCATCCATGGCGTGGACAAGGATCTCTGGCGAGTTCAGTGATGGTGCTAGGCTCCTTTACTTCGTCTCGCTATTCCTCTACGTGTCGCTGGTGGTACGCGTCAACCTCTTTCGGGGGTTTAGGTTCTCCCTGGCATGGTGGGCATACACATTCCCGATGACTAGTGTGGCCTTGGCGACAGTGTTGTATGCATCCGAGGTTGACAACATGCTGACACGGGCACTGGCAGTCGGGTTGTCAGGAATCGCTGTTGTCACAGTCACCGGCGTGCTAGCCACAACCATGTACCACGCCTTCGTGCGCAAGGACCTCTTCCCCAACGACGTATCCATCGCCATCACGCGGCGAAGGCCCAAGTTTAGCAAGATCCTTGCACACCTTCGGTCGTCAGGCTCTGATGTCAAGGAGCTTGTTCTCTCCATTCCAAATTTCAATTCCAATTCCAATTCCAAGCAGGGCGCATACTCTGATGACTCGGGCTCCAACTCAAGGACGAGCGACGGTCTCGGCGAGTCTCCAATGGCACACGGGCATGGAAGAGCAGAGTGTTAGACGGTCGGTGCAAGACATTGTGTATGTACGCACGGCTAGCTTATGTGGAAAAATCTCATCATAAGTAGTACTTGTATAGAGTTCTCTGTTTTTTCTTCATTGTTTTTCTTCTTTGCGAACTTGCTGCACATAGTTGCAGATTAGGTGTGATATCCTTGAGCAATTTACATTGCCATGATAGTGATATTTGTCGGAATTAACGGTTGAGCTTGTAAATTTGTTGCTTATACTTTTTTTCAGAAGTAGAAAAATCTCAGGTCACATTGCATAGACTCTATTCTCATCTCAAGTAACTCCATAGACCTGAAAATTGCGGGAACATTGCACCAAAGGAGTATCAATAAAATGGATGGCCTAGTGTGTTGCAGCTTCAGAAGTGAGGTTTTTCAAAGTTTTATTAACACAGAGGAGAGTTTGGGAAATCATTTTTTATGTGTGACCGTGACATGTTATCCCCTCATTGCTCAAAACCAAGGTTACCGCTGACGGCAGCACTCTCAGACTTAGCTTTACTTACGTTTTCTTTATTTAAAACACAGATTTACTTACATTTTCTTTCGATTAATCATAGCTTTGCACAGATTTTCTTTAAAATAAAACATAGCTTTACTTATACATAGCAAAGAGCCCGTATTAATTTCCTGTTTTGGTCTTTGGGCCCACCGGATAGTAGGCTGCTGGTAAATTAGTTCTGGCTACAATTCTCTGCACCGTATGGCTCTGAACTAACCCTACAAATGCTAAAACTTATTTCTTTTTGCTGAATCAAAGCCTCAGATGTGCTAACTGAATTATGTATATATAGTCCTTTAATAAGTATTAACTCCTACCTGGATCAAAGACAGATCAGGTTTTGTTCCACAAATCAAAACACTTACTTACATAGTTGAGGGCATAAACCGATAGATACCTTCCGCCGCAAACTTGACTCTAAAATACATGATGTTTTGCATGGAGAAAAATGAACTACACTCTGAATAGATACCTTCCGCCGCAAATTTAGAATATGTTTGAATCATATCTGAGCTGTCTTGTACACAATATGTACATTATCCCAGTGGTCTTACTTGCTTGAACCGCTTTATATGTCACTCACCTATTATGTGCTTTTGATGATAAGTAGGAATAGAATGTTCCACTTGTATAAGCGTGCACGATGACTAAAAGTCTCGGTGGATGGAGTCCTCCGGGTCATTCACGGCATGATGTATCGTTCATGTCTGACTCTCTACCATATAGTACATGTATGAGGAAAAAGGACCGATGGTTAGGGAAAGAAGGAGAAAAATGCATCCAGACACAAAAACATGCGTACGTACATTAGCTGGCGCAGGAATTGCGTGCATGCGCCGATTCTTTTCTAATATGTGTACTATACATTTCCTCGTGTGGAGATAAAAGTAGTCGCTCCTGTTTCAAAGCTTGATTCAATTCCGGCGTGCTGCTGCCTTTTTTCTACTCACATTTCTTTAGGACCCGGAGATGGTGCAGCTTCACACCTGCCATGCTTGCGTAATAACATTTTTCCACCTTCAAGTTCGCCATGGATATACCTATTCCACACAAGCTACTAGTACTAAGTACATACAGATAAAAGTACGTAAATGATGTACGTCCACAGGTGTTAGTCGATGTGCATTCACATATCCTTGTGTAACCTTTTTCCACCCTAAGTCAAATTCGGCACGGGTTTACCTTTTCCACAAAAGCTACTAGTACTCCCTCCGCTCCTAAATATATGTATTTTTAGAGATTTCAATAGAGACTACGTACAGAGCAAAATAAGTGAATCTACATTCTAAAATATGTTTGTATACATTCGTATGTAGTACATATTGAAATCTTGGGCATGCGTGTTCGTGTTGGACCCACTCTCGCCCCCGTCGCTCCCGCGAGCGGCGGCTGGCGAGCCCCCCTTCTGCCCGCCCCCAGGTCCTCCTCCTCCCCCTCATCCCCTCGCCGTCGCCAAAAGACACCGCCGGGCGAAGCCTGGCCCGCGTCGGCGGCGGGGGGACTCCTTCCCTCCTAGTGCGGTGGTGGCGGCGCGGGTCGCCCCGGCGGGCAGGGGCGCTGTGCTGCGGGCGGGGCACAGCGGCGGGTCTGCACGGGCTGGCGCTGGTGGCGCGGTCACTCGTCGGGGCCGCGGTGGCTGCTCGGCGTCAGCAACGGGCGCGCGGTGGTGGCTGCTCGCGCGCGGGCCTGATCTGGGCCTGGGGCGGGCCTGCAGCCGATGCGCGGTTCTGGCGGCTGCCTCGTAGCTCGCTCAGCGAGTAGAGGCATGGTGGTGGCAGTGGTGCTCGGCGGTGGGAGCGGTGTGGCAGGGGACGGTGGGCCTCGCCGGATCCGAGCCGCTGGGCGCAGGTGGTTGCCGCGGATCTGGCTCTGGCCGGTCCGGCGGCGCGGGCCGTAGGGGCCACCGGTGTGCAGGCGTTCGGGCAAAGGTGGAGGAGGGACCAGCGGCTGACGTGGAGGCTCTTGGGCTCCGGGACGGCGGCCCCGGATGTGGTGGTGGCGGCTTCGGCCAGGAGGTGGTGCGAGTCTGGTCGCGGTGAATCGTGGGATCCCGTAGCCAGAGTGAGGTCGGCCTCGGCAGGGGTGGTGGTTAGTGGGCGGCGGTCGGTGGTGGCAAGTGGTTGGCACATCTTCGGGAGAAATCTTTGCTCCGGTCTTCACCGGAGCCGGCGACGGCGGCGCCCGCGAGTGCCGTGATCTTTCTTGGAAGCGTCGTCGTGGAGGTGCTCCCTCTCCCCACGGCTTGGGCTCCGGAGGGAAACCTCAGATCCGCTGGATCGGGCGATGGAGGCGTCTTCGCGTCTTTCTCCTCCTTGGGGGCATCGTCTCGGAGCCGGCAACGACTGAGAGACTGGAGGATGATGGCAGCTTCGCCGTCGATGGTGGCATCTTTGCCGCGTGGTTTGCTGAGGCGGGGCGTTGGTTCCTGTTTGGCAATGAGGATGGCGTCGAGAAGAGCTTGGGTCGCGGCGTGGTCTTCGGTAGTCGGTTCTTCCCGACGTGTCCGAGGTGCTCTTTTAGGCACGGTCGGCGCAAGTCCTGCATATTTCCCTTGTGTTGCTCGTCGTCAATGTCGGAGCTGTCGGTTGCTTGCGCGTGTGGCCATCCGTTGGCATGTGCCGTCGTGGCTTCTGTTCATGTCGGTGGCCAGGTTGACCGGTGGTGCCCATGTCATGTGGGTTGTGTTGTATCGGTTTTAGCCCGGTTTTCCGTCAATTAACCGGGCAACTCTCTTCTTCTTAATCAATGAAAATGGCAAGTCTTTTGCCTCGTTTCATTTTTCTTTTTGAAATCTTTAAAAAGATTACATTGAGAAACAGAGGGAGTACTACACGTATACTTGAGGTGCGTCCGCCGTTGTTCTTTTTATTTTTTGAGATACGTCAAAGACGTACCATATTTTAACAAATAATATATAAGTTATACGTAGCAAAATAATATCATCAGAAACTATGTTCAACTACGAATCTAATGATATAATTCTTTATGACATGCATTAACATTTTATAGTTAAAAATTTTATTATAAATTTTGACATGAAGGGGATCAGTAAACCGCGAAGAGGTAGTACTATCTATCAGCCGGCACAATAGCAGAGGCAGCAACACAACTTTTTGACTGCACCACACTGCACTGACGTCTGGTGTACTCCACATACACGCTGCGTAGTAGCACGCACCACGGCGCACAGATTCCTCCCTTCTCGCCATAGGTCCAGCATTATTGCTTGGAAAGCACATCGATGGATCTCCGAGAAGCTGCATGCTATTCATCCAATAATGCTCTAGGCCGGGTAAAAGTTTGTACGCAAAAAGTTCGTGCCTTGAATTCTTTTTGAGGGAGTGTTTGTTTTCAGGGACTTTTGGTGTAGGGACTAGAAAAAATTCCTCTTAAAGACTTTTTAATTAAACAAAAGGGACTACTAGGGACAAAGGGGGTGTTTGGTTCCGGGGACTTTTTTGTGTTGGGACTAAAAAAGTCCCTAGCAAACCAAACAGGAAGGGAGGACTTTTTGCTAAAAGTCCTTAGAAGCACCTCCTTGAAAGTCTTTTTCAAAAAATCCTAGGGACTAGAAAAAGTCCTAGGATTAGAGAACCAAACACCACCTAAAAGTTGTTTCTTGGGACTAAATGAAGAGGACTCTAAAGGAGAATCTTTTTTGGGACCTTTTGGGACTTTTCCAACAATGCCTCTCCCCGCATCCACTACCCCGCCGCCCCATGGTGTTATTTGCTTGTTATTTTTCTGTATACTAGGGATAAAATGGTCATTTAATAACCTCTAGGGAGTTTTAGTCCCTGGAAACAAACAGGAAGGGACATTTTAGAGACTAGGGACTTTTTAGTTGGAACTAGAAAAAGTCCTATGACTTATGAACGAAACAAGGCCTAAAAAAAGAATCAAGTAATGAGTGTAATGTACGTACGGCCGAAGATAGTCACATTCGGGTTAGTTCTAGGCCAGGTTCATGGGCACATACGAGGATGGGTTTACTTGACTTGCGATTCCATAGCTACTGGTTAACTAAGACGGCGAGTATCATAAATGATATTATGTATTAAATAGTTTTTTTAGATGATAGGTAAATACACTGGGAGTCTTAACACTTGCGCTTGACAGTCAGTTTGTAGCAC